ACAGCAACTATTTCCCTCCATAACTTTTAACCGTAGTGCTATTCTTAATGGGTTAACTATCATTCTGCATTTTTAATTTATAGGGGGTTTTTTTACGCTCCTAAGCAACTATAACTATAAGAGGAATACAGGCTGACACTATAGCATTTCTAAAGGATAAATCTACGGCAGATGGCAAAACTTTTATTCTTTAGATGACAGTGTTATGTTCATTCCATTTACCTTCCTTCAGCTCTTGAGATCAACCAGATTTTCCAGCCTTCAACTGTTTTCCAGTCTTCACTTGTATAGACCCGGCATCTCGATGTTTACCAGAAACTTCAGCAGCTCATTTTTCATTATCAGTCATTCATAAAATAAATCATAATACCTGTACTAGGATGGGGATAAACTCCTATTCCATGGAAAACAGTGCTTTTTAAAATTTAATTATCGGGGGGAATGATGGGGTTAGTGCACAACTGACAACTGGAAAGTCTTATTTTTATTTTATTTATTTATTTAAAACATGCCTATTGTCACACATCTTGGACAGCTCCCAATCAAAGATAAAAAAAATCATTTTCACCTATCATGTAAGGCCAATATGGATGTCTTCTGGATTAATAGCTTCTCTATCAGCGTTTTCAAATCACTGGGATGGCCCTTAAATATCAAAATTATCTATGGGCACCAAGGTTTCACTTCCCACTATGAAGACAACTAAGATCTGTCAAGGAAGGAAAAGAAATTGTGCCACGTGGGACATTTTGAAATGGGAGAGTAATACACTTAATTTTCCCCAGGCTATGCAGTGAATTAAAGGGGACATAGAAGTTAGTTCTTGAGTCACATTCTCAGCTGGCATGCCTGTTCACCTACTTTACAGGAGATGGGAGAGTTTCCTGCTCTCAAAAGTGGACTTAAGCAGAGCAAAATCTACCATTTTAATTTGCTAAAGCATGCTTGCTAGAAAGGTATCCCCATAGAGTTCAGTGGTTTGGATTTCCAAGCAAACATGTTGGGGATTGAACTTGCTGTATCTTAGCACCAAGTACACTAGTTAACCAACACTCGAAGGATTGCTCTTTCTAACCACCACTCTTTGTGTCTCTTGAGCACGAAAGTGCTAGTCAGGAAAGGAGTGAATCTTAGTAAAAAATATCTAATTTCAGGCAAACACTCTCAGTAAAATTTCTAAAGCCACCCAAATGGGCCTCCATGTTGAAACTAATGAAAAAAAAATCATTTTATTTATATAATTTTTTTTAACCTCAACATGGCATACACAGGGTTCACCGAGACAGAATGATTGACCCAGAGACCCAGTGAGATTGGTTAAGCAGTATCTTGGATTTCTCTACTTTAAGTCCAAGTAGTGCTTTCCACCAGCTTTCCAGAAAAAGGCTCATTTGGACCAACGTTGCCTTCATTCCAGATATTGGCAATTGGAAATGCAGATCCCTAGGAAAGTACTTCTGTCACTGCCAAATTGAAATGATCAAGAACTGTGAGAAAGGTTTTGGCTGTGGTTTGTTTTCCAAGCTTGTTTCAATATAATTTCTGAACGTTTCGTTACCAAACTAGGCAACAGCATCAGCAGGATTTTCTTGTCCTATTCTCCTTAGCTCATAAATGTCTTGTGTGCCAGTGTGGTCAGTTAGTCATGCGATTGGTTGTTTGTTAGGAGCTATATTTGAATTCCAAGCAGCTGATTGGTTCTCTTGTTGATTGGCACTTCGAATGGTCTGGTTTCTTACATACTGATATGTTGGATCTAGATCAATATGCTTAATTGCTCCTTTGGTGGAATACCAGGCCTCAATAAGTTTGCCTGTGAGGCGGGTGTTGGCAGGCCCAATAATTTTTGTTCCTTCCCAATCGAATTGGTGTGTTGATCATCAATGTGGTTTGAGATCAGGGATTTTTTTATCTTTGACCAATTGCACGACCAACTGAGCACACTGGCACACAAGACATTTATGAGCTAAGGAGAATAGGACAAGAAAATCCTGCTGCTGATATTACCTAGTTTGGTAACAAAACGTTCAGAAATTATACTGAAACAAGCTTGGAGAAAAAAAACCACAGCCAAAATCTAAAACCTGAGCTACAAGTATTTTCTATTACTGGGAGAAAGGGTTTCAAGAGTAGATCTTGAGCAATTAAAACCCAGAAAAGAAGCCAAACTATGCTCCTGGTGCATATTCAAGTGCCCTGTAGGTTTTCTCATGGATTGTTTACATTAACTTTCTCAGAACTCCAAGGAAGTAAAATAAATAACCATAAACTTGAACGTCCAAATAAAGATTTGGGCTTTGGGAGTTTGGCAGATCTGCTTGGCATTACTGTGGAAAACTGCAGGCAGTGTCTTAACTCATCTTTCTGAGGTAGGCAGCAACCAGCTCAGAGAGCAGAAAAGCAAAATATTTTTCTCCTTTTATTTCCACCTATTATTCCAGCCATTGTCCAGTCAAGTCAAAGCAGGTAGAAATTTAGTGAAAGAGTAAATCTGTTTCTATACAAGGAAGAAGAAAGATGTAGGCACATATGCATATGAGAAAGAGATTGTGCATGCTATCATGAAGTCTTTTGAACTGCTTCAGTATTTTTTCAAAGGACATGTGTTATTCAAATAATATATTCCGGCTTAATTCATACTATACCATGACATCATTTAAATTCTGTCTTAAACAATAAAGGATAATTCTTTTGGGTTTTTTTTGAGAAACAAGTTTTTGTTATTGCAGTAGACTCCCCCCCCCCCAAATGAGTGTAGGATAACAAATCTCGCTTTCTGTGCATAACATTAGGAAATTTCATTTGTATAGGATGTAGAGAAAAGTACAGAAAAAAATGTCATGTTTCTCAACATATCCAGCCATAGATAAGTCTTAAAAGTTCAGACTGCTTAGAAGCCTTTATCAATTTCTTAACAGATTCTTGTTCTTAATAAGGACTGAAAGGTCTAAAGGAATTGAAAATACTGCATTTATTGCCCTCTAATGGTGAGACGAGCTGTGGCACAAGTAAAAAGCAAATATTAAAATCTGTTTAACCAGTGATAACACCCACGATCATACATTAACATAGGTAGCTGTCATACAGAATCAGATCATTAGCTCATATCTGGAAGATGCTAAGTGGGCCTTTCAGATAAATCTTCAGATTTGCTATTGGAGGCATTTTTCATGCAAGGTAATAAAGAATGTGCCTGAAGCCATCTGCATAACTAACAAGTAGTCTAACTTTGAGCCATGACCCTGTCATATTTAGTTATTTAAGTGCTGCAACATTTGTTCTGAGGTCATTGCGAATGGCTGTAGCAATGTTTTGTGGAGAATTGAAAAATTTATAATTATTATACTGCTTCAGAATGGCTGCTGATATAACCGAGAAGATTTTCACAAACAATGTTAGTTTTATGGATACTTCTCCAGTTTCGTTGTGTGGGAACGAAAGGAAATATTAAAAGGGCAGAAAAATATATTTCCTCAAAGGATCTTAAAGAGGCAGAAAAGCATGCCCAGTTTTTCTTAGTAGTCCCAAGTCTCCCTCCCCCAAGCAGAAACCAGCTCTGTAGAAATGCAGATGTAAATAATCCAGGAAGGTTGGAGGCCCCCAGCTAGAAGATTAAGAAGACAAAGACACCTAAAATCTACATACCCCACCCAAATTCTAAGACAGGACATAATAGGATTAACCCACAGATACCAAAGGGCACACTCAGACTCAGGTCAAAGTTCATGTCACAGGAACAACTCCAAAGAAAAGGCTCCAGCGGGTATAAAAACCCACTTCCTACATGTGCTTGTTCTCTTTTCTTCCAGAGCCATCTTTCTGTCTGGCTCTCCTCTTCAATAAACTGCAACCTTCTTTCTAAAGCAGTCACCATGTTGTTGTATTCCCAGCTTGGACTGAACCATGATGAAGACTTTTCCTTCAACAGTTGTGACATGTCCTTCACCATTTTGATTGATACCTTTGTGCAAAACTCAATATTCAGACACAAAGCAGGCCAGGGGAAATCCCCCAGGGTTCTGACAGACAGACAGAGAGAAAGGGAAAGAGAGAGAGGAAAAAGAAAGAGAGAGAGAGAGGAAAGAGAAAGAGAGAGGGGGGGCAAGGCAAGAATTTGAACCTGAATATACTTGGTGGGGCTACAAGATGGTCTTTAAATCTGTAGCATCTCAAAGCTAGCACAGCATTAAGCCTCCTAAGAATTTTAACTTCCTTTTTTGTTCTAAAAAACACATTTCTACTCTGAAAAAAAAACAGCTTGAAAACAAATTTTTGATTCTTGGTTATGAAGACAGTCAATAGTTTACAGGCAAAAAGAAGTGTATGTCTTTATTTCCTGACTTTCTTCTAAAGAGATCAAGTCAAGTCATCATGCATAGAGGTCATCTCATGTGTAGTTTGTTAACAAACCTTCATAATCCTGTGAGGTAGGCTGGGCAGAGAGCAAATGATTCAAAGAAATCCAATGAGCTACATGTCAGATACAGCTATGGTAGTGTGGTAAGAATGCTCTTCCTGAAGGTATACGACTGAGAGAAAGAATCTGAAAGTTTTGTAGGCACCTTCCAGCAGTATGGAAGCCCAACACATCTGGCTGAGTCTGGAGGTTTCTTTGCTTTCCCAAGAAGCTTCCAATCATGTCCTTCCCTCCTTCTCTAGATATACAGGAGCCATTTCTTTTCTTTTTCAGGATCAGTGGAGAGCTGGCAACGCAATCCATTAAGAAGGAAGGAGATACCTCTGAAGAGCTCATTTAACCATACTTAGGATATGGTATTCTGGATTCCATCCTTTCCAAAGGGTACTTTTGAGATCTTAGTTCATTTGAAGTGGTGAGGCAGATATTAATGAGAAACCAAAATAAATATAAATACTGATAAGTATTTGAGTTATACCTGGCACTTGGTGACTTTATGCATGCTCTTGCATTATTTTCTTGGCAATAATATAGAAGCAATTTGTTGCGATGCTTTTTTTTTTTTTTTTTTACTTCATAGCCAGCTTGAACCCTGGGATTTCATGTTTTCCATTGAAACATAGATCTGGTTTTGCTTAGCCTTTTGAGCAGAGCCAAGGTTGGTGGGATTTTGTCCCTTTCCTGGTCTAAGCACAGATAACTGATGAAATCCACAGGAACAAAGAATCACATTTGTTGCAAGAGCAATTTCTCGCACTCTTTCTCTTTTGCTCAGGCTGTCAAGAGGCTTTCTGTTGATCGCTATCTTGTAAAGGACTTTGCCTTTTGGCACTGAGGATGAATGGGTGCATGTTGAATATTCTCTCCGAGGATCAGCCCCATTTACTTCTTATCACACACAATCTGCACCCCCATATCTTTTCAGCTTTTTATGGTGTGCATTCATTATCTTGCTTTTCCTTCCCCTTATGTTCAATGATATTGATTCTCAGAGACTGCCCGTAGAAGTCTGCTGTTTTCTTGGTGAGGTTTTTTTCAGAAGTGGTTGGCTAAAGGGTGAAAGTGGCTGGCCCAAGGTCACCCAACTTGCTTTGTGCTTAAGGCAGGATTAGAACTCACAGTCACCCAGTTTCTAACCTAATGTCTTAATCATTACAACCAGCTGGCTCTCAGTCTTGCTTTAACTGATTTTTTTACACCCTCTAATCTCTTAAATAAGGCCCATGCATGTGAATGAAATCTTCTTTACATGTAGCTGATAAAATAAAATTAAAAAACGAGCTTGCTTTTTCACTCACACTCGCACATTAGCTGATGGCCAGTGTATATCCATTTACAACAGCCCACAAGATTTCTATTCGTTCAGAAACACAAGGGACTAGAAGCACCAGATGACAATTCTCTTCTTTTCTTGGCAGAGGGACAATGATGTCCTTTCATCGTGAGCTGTGAATTCTGTTGGATGGATCAGATGGATCATACATCATGTCTTCCTTCGCTTAACCACCGGGCCCGATAGGTTGTCCACCCACTTGGATTCTTATTTGTTTGGGAATCAGTAAATATTTGAGCCAACCTGGCTTGGATCTTGCCTTGCCAACCGCAGTCATCAAACTCAGTGGCAGCAGCCAAGGCCAAGAAGAAGTAACTGGCTGCATCTTGCTCATCCTGAGAATAAAAGGAAAGAGATAAAAAGTAAAGCACTGGAAGGTTCTTCCAGTCAAGGCTGAAAACATGGTAGGGATCAAAAGAAAAATGGCTTAAGAAAGAAAAAAAAACTTTTCAACACTTGGAACCTTAAATGGCTTTTACAACTCTGTGTTATGACTCCCCACCACACTCCCCTCCCAAAAAACAACTTTATAACAGAGAAATCTTGAAACTAGCACAACCCTGTACTTCAAGCAATTTTTTCCCCGTTTGGATTATAATGAGGCAAAATGTGGCAAGCAGCCATCCCAGTTCATCACTTATGCAGAGCAAATGAACGCAGATTTGATTGCTTGAAATAGCAATTAATTAATTTCATACAGACTAAGAACAATTAATATGTATGAAATAATGCAATATGTATGAAGGGACATGTGAGGAGCTACTGAAGGGACATGGTGGGGCTACTGAAAATCATATCCAAAGCAAGGGTATTTAGAAAGGGAGTGGCAACTGCAGAACAAAATAAGGAGAGCATCAAAAGTAGAGGACAGCAGGATGGCATATCATAAATCACAGCTGACAGCCTGCAACCCAAGCCACATGTAGTCCTTCCAAGCAGTGTGTGAAGCTTCCAGAGCCCTTCCAAATTAGAGCATATCAGATCTGGACTGAAAAACCTCAGGTAACTAAACATGGCAGAAAAAAGATTCAGAGAATTCTAGGCTTTTATTGACATTTAGTAATTCCTTGGAGATATTTACATTCTGGCTCTGGTTGCTGTACTCTAAAGTGCAACGAAATGGCTATTTTAATTTGAAAGAAGATGAGGAATTATTGAATGTATGAGAAAGGTTCACAGTAGTTCAACTTAACTGAAATGGAATAAAGTAAAATTTAGCTTTTATCCTCGCTTTGAAGCATATCCCTTTGATTGATTTGTCATTCAAGGGCCAAAGTCTGGACATTAGCCTGAAACAAATAGTATATCCCTTTTGTAAACTGAAAAAGTATTAACTGAACAAAGTGACTTGGAGGTCCAGAAAATGGAATAGTTGCTGACACTGCAGCAAAAAAAAAATTACACTAATTCAATATTTTCACAAGATTCTGAATATTTTCATTGTTAAGTGCAAAGTAAATCAAACCAGAGCATCTTTACTAAAATGCAACAGGTCAGACATCACAGATGCTATATTTCACCTTTAATTTGTGGAGAGTGAGATCTCCCAGTCGGTAGTAAACCTTAGAATAATATATGGCTTCTTGAGCCCCTTGCAATTCTGGTGAATGCAAAGAAAGCGTCCTCAAGTAGCAGTCTTCAGCCATCTCATACATTTGCAGAAGGTAATACACAGTTGCCAGCCGATGAAAGGCAACCAATTCTTGCAAATGATCTCCTGGAACGAGAACATGGCATAAATAACTATTTGGCCATTGTAAAGGCTGCAGGATTTGCAACTCTCCCCTTCCTCCTAGACCCGTGAAAGACCATGTACTTCAATCCCCGAGCAGCACCATTTCAACTGCTTCCTGCCCAGTTCCTAAGATTTGGGAAGACTGCACCGTGTTCCCCTGCCACCACCTTTTTGCTCCCCCAGACGTTAATGGCAGTGCCAATCCCACATGCTGAAAAAGTTTTGCAGTAACAACCATAATAATAAATGCAAACAATTGTTTTATTTATGCATGTTCCTAATGTCATAAAATCAATGGCAATTCAATATGATAGGGAAGACATGCCAATTTCATGTGGTAGGCATTAAACACTCCATTACTGCAATCTTGAAAAATATGTATACAGTGTTTCCATAGACACAATCGTTCTCAGCGGAAATGAAAAAAAAAAATTGAAGAGCAGATTCCTTGCTTGAAACACGATAATGTAGACTATTAAATTTCACTGTGATGAAATTAGACATGCCGTCTTCAAAAGCTCGTGCCTTGTTGCTCCAAGGTGAGCAGTTACACAACAAAATGAAGACTGTGAAAATGATAAGGATATGTGAAATAATCCATTTGATAGAAACACATTCCATTTGCTTTCAGTTAAGAATTTCTAGGCTATTGGTTGCAATATCATTGTCAACAAAATATTGTGTCCAAAAATCAAGCAATGTCTTGTACAACACCGACTGAGTCATCTCTGACTGGGACATCAGCAGCCTTTATCTGAGGAAGGATAAATTTATCTGGCAATTCTTTCCCAGTGGTTGTGAATTCATAAAATCTGCGAAGAGCTACTTCTTTGATTTTGAATGACGTATAATAAATGCCCACTTACCTTTGTACTTTTTTAAAACATTTACTGAGGCCAACTTGAATATTTTAAATTGACTTGGGTGACACCACCTTCTAAGAGATGTATAGTGGTTATTTTCTGTACTCACAAATTATTGACAATTTTCAGAATATGACTTAGGTATTCTTGTGTTATAAACCTTGATTCCTTCCTACCTACATCCACGCTGAGTCTGACTGCCAAGGTAGCAAATTCCAAAGCGTTTTCATAATTGCGGAGCCCAATTTGGAGTTCAGCTAGCTTGTTGAACACTCTCAATTCCGTTGTTGTGTCTCTCAGTTTCCTGGCCAAAGGTATAGCTCCTCCCTGGCAAAAACACCAAACGATTTGTCATGGTGGTTTCATAACTTTCTACTCTCCATCCTCCTGCTGCAGCCCAACCAAGAGTCCCTCAGAGAGGTCACACAAAGCAAAGAAGACCTGACCATGCGTACAGTCTCTTTGATAATCATTTGCCAAAGCATCATTTTCTGATAACTGAAAGGAACGTTATCTCACAGTTTTCAGATTTATAGGTAACCTGAAACACAACATAACTTTTGTCGGCTCTCACTTAACCTTCTCTTGAACTTTAGATGAACCTGAGATCATTTTGCTTTTTGTTTCCTTGTTTTGTGCAACTGGATGGCTGCCCATTTGGCTTTTGCCTAGAAACAGGTTTAAGTCTATTAATTCAGCAAAACTAAAGCTGTCTGTCACTATAAATTTAACACAGTTTGCACACATTGTTTAATATGAAAGAAAAGGCTACCCGTTGGATCAATCAGACCATTATAGACTTTTAGAAAGTCTACAATTTTTTTTCTAAAAAAAAAAGTTCATTTCTTATTTTTAAAGATGAAAGGGCTATACATTTTCTCTTTGTTTCTTCCTTTTTTTTAAAGCACCACTTCATTAACACTTCGAACACTTAAAAAGAGATGGTAGGGCTTTGTTACTAAAAAGAGGGAAAGAGCACACAAGAAAAAGAAAGAGAACTCCTGCTTACTTTGTACTCAAAGATATTTAAGTAAAGTTCTTAGAGTGCATCCTTCAGTACAGATGGAAGGGATCTTGTAAGGACCACCGTCAAGCTGTCAAATGCCACAGTTGCACTGGACTGCATTTTTACCCTAGCAATCAGCAGCAGCAATCCAGATTTCTAAAACAATGCTTTCCCATTATTATATACTCTGAAGGTATCAGGGATTGAACTAGTGACCTTTTGCAGTCAAATCATATGTTGTATCAGGAGGGCATGAATTAAATAAAAGGATAATATGCAAAGAGCAACAACAAGAAAATTCCTCATCACGATCTTACTTCCACAATTAACAGCCACAACACAGTCAGTGGTCCTCTGACCTTCATTGCCATGCCTAACTATACCCCCAGATTCCAGTGTGCTTATTTTCAGCCAGCAATATTAGCATGTAGAGGCACAGAAGGAATCACTGGAGTAGATTGGTGGTTCCCCCCCTCCCCCAGTGATTTCTGTCTGATGTTCATCTCATTTTCCACTTTCTACTTCTGCACAGTTTCTTTCCATCAATGTTGGAACCACCCAGTATTGGCAACCTCTAGAGATGTTGATACAAATATATCTTGTAGTTGGTACCCTGTAATATTCCACTGCCTTGTGCCTGTTCTTGATTCCATTGAAGAAGACATCTCCTGCCTCTTCGTATAATTCCATGGCCAGGTGCAGCTCTTTGGGTTTCAGTGCTGTCTCTATGGATGCCTGAAAAGGGGAACCAGTGAGGTTAACAGCTGAGGCAATAGGATCATGGAAAAAGGCTGAATGTTTGCTCAAAACAACTCAGGACACTTCAACTTAGCTGCATCCATTTAAAGACTCTTATACATAACAAAATACAGAACCCTTCATGACATTTTCTTTTTTATTTCCATTGCAGAGACTTCATAACTCTGAAGGAAAAAGTGGAAAGTAGGTACAAAAAATTTAAACATCTCTCCATGCAGAGAGATTTCCATTGCTTGGTGATATGTACCCTCTTATTTTACTTCATACTGTAGCATTCAGTTCTCCTTTTTTGTAATTTGATGTTCGTCACTCTAATGCTCTTCTACTCAAACCCCCCCCTTACGTTTCAGTACCAAATCTCTGAAATCACCACACTACGAATCCAAATGTTGCTTATGAATCTAAATTCTGCACCCACAAATGAAAGTCATAGGTTTTCAGTGTTAAATATTATATAACCCGATATTAAATATTAATATTTAATATGACCTAATATTAAGATAAGTGTGCAATATGTAACTGCATCTTTCGTTTAAAGCTTAGAGCACAAAACATGCATATGGGCAATGCAGAAGATCTGTGATTCAGCCAAGATCCAGTCTATATGTAATAGCTAGAGAAGGATATTTACTGCCATGGTTGGTGATGCCTTATATTGTTAGACACTGACTCAGCATCCTCATGTGCCAGACACAGATGAAAACTCACATTTTATAAAGAATGATCTAGGTTATCCAATGATTGAAATCACACTTTTGCAATAATCTTTTACAAAGTGGTTGGGTAAAAAGCTACAACTAGTAAAAAAAGAACAGAAAAATACCAACTTAGAAACCAAACTTTTTTATGTACCTGTAAATACATTTCCACAAGTTCATTCTCTTGCATTTGATAATAGAGCTTACCAGCCTGTAACCAGGCCTGGGCTGTTTTAATATTTTCCTCCAGGTCAATAAATATTCTTAGGCTCTGCTTGGTAGAATCCAATGCCTGTTTCAAAGATCTGTTGGAATTACATGTATTTCATTATTAGTGAAACTCATGAATAGTTAAAAGAAACCACCTCATTTTGAGCCACTCTATAAAACGTCGCTTACAAGAAACTGCATTCTGACCTTCACACAGGCTGAATTCTTTCCTTTGGTCTTAAATCCAATGGAGAAATTATTTTAAGCAGATGAACCTTTAAATTCATCCTTAAATAAGTCCTTGTTCTAAAGATATCACTCTTAATGGAAGACACATTCAAGAGATTTAAAAAACAATAAGGAAGAAGGTTACTTCCTTTTATTTTAATTATACAGCTTAAAAATCATGTTACAAAGAGATAGTTTTCCAAGATTTTGGATAGCATGAGAAACCCTAGCAAATATAACATGGCAAACAGCTTCCTTCAGGCATAACATCTTGAAGGAAGGTAAGAAGCAAGAAGAAAACAATCCACACCCTTTATTTCAGGGGTCTTCAGACTTGGCCCTTTTATGATTTGTGGTCTTCAACTCCCAGAATTCCTCAGCCAGGCATGCCTGGCTGAGGAATTCTGGGAGTTGAAGTCCACAAGTCATAAAAGGGCCAAGTTTGAAGACCCCTGCTTTAGTTTGTTTGCCATATTCATTTCCCTCTTCCTCAAAAAATTTCAAGCACCATCGTTTTTATTATCTTCCATTCATACCAACTCTTGTGTGGCATATATTCAGAACAGTGCATGCATTCATTCAAGGGGCATGGTCATATGCCACTGACCTCTTTGTGCTTCTTTATGTGACCGGTGAGTCTTTAAAGCTAGAGAATTCTCGCTGTTGCCTTGGCTGAAGGATATAGGCAGTGCTACTCCTTCTGCTAACCTTTCCTCAAAGGTTAAGCTTTAGATTACAGAGCAACTGCCAGGCAGCCTTTCAAGTGAACCAGTGACAATCTTCAGAGATCAAGAAGGTAGGCCAGCATTTCTCAGCCTTGGCAACTTTACCATATGTGGACTTCAACTCTTAGAATTCCTCAGCCAGCTGGAGAATTCTGGGAGTTGACGTACACACATCTTAAAGATACAAGATTAAGAAACACTAGGGTAGACACATCTTTAGATCCATGGGGTACCTCCATCTCTGAAACGAATGTGCTGTTTGCATCCAAAGTCAACAATGGCTACGCTAGCAACGTGTAATCTTTTATTCTAGTGAATTCATTAAAATTACTCACCTCTCATTCTCTCTCCAAGCCATCCAGAATAGGATATGCTTAAAACCTTGCCTCTGACTTCCTGCAAAAGTAAGATTTCTAACGTCCCTCTCCCCTTTTGTAGTTACGTCAACATTGCCTAGTTGGGAAGAAGCCTACTGCTTTGGGGAAAATGGGGAAATATGCCTTTGAAACGGGTAATTAGAAACAACTTTGATATTTATAAGTAGGTAATTGGGAAAAGGAATAACCTTGAGAAAGAGAAGGAAGAACTGCTATGAAGACAGTGGTCAGATAAAAGAAATCTGGGTCTGGACAGATCTGTAATCTGAGTAAGCATTTCAGATAAAACTCTCCCTAGTTCTCAGGAACATTTTGAGCACCAGGGACCGGTTCCTTGGAGAGAGGTTTTTCTGCAGACCGGAGGGGGCATGGTTTCATGTACTGCCTGCATCCCACAGATGGGGCTTTGCTTGTTTGCATGGACCGGTTTCTGGCATGGACCGGTTTCTCTCCATGGTGCTGGTCCATGGAGCGGGGGTTGGGGACCCCTGCTCAGGAAGATAACTAAAAGAGGGGGAAAGTACATTCAGACTTGCAAGATTCTGTTACTGTAAATTTGTAATAAAAGTAGTATTAGTATATATGTCAGGTTTCCAAGACTGGTCTACCTTGGAGGGCAGATAAAGTACATTGATTGCCAGTCAGAAACAATGGGAGGAGATTAGAACTTAATATTGTTTTTATTGAATTCTTTTCCTTTTTGTATTTTTTATTCTTTTCTCTTTTTCCCTTTGCTCTTTTCTTTCTTTTATATAATTATGTGCATTTATTTTTAGAACAATGACAAATAGCAATGTTATCAATATTAATCTTTAGAATGTTATAGAGCTTTTAACTTTTTTCTTGAGATAATATATGGAATCTAGGTCTATAGATTTAATTAACAAGTTAATGAAATATTGAGTTAATGAACCTTAAATTTTATAATTATCAATCTTTCTTTGCTGATATTTATTTATTCCCCCTATTTTTCCTACATTTTTTTTTCTTATGTAGCTACTTATTCTATTGTCTAAATGTTTCAAACAAATTCTTTATTAAAAGAAAAAACAAAGGAAAAGGTGGCAACTTGAAGCAAGTGAACCACTATGGAAAACCTAGCTTGAAATATCTGGTGATGTATACATTTCTCTCCTGTGCATGCACACACTCTTCTTTGTATCCTGGTTATTGTATGTAGGTCCAGTGCTTTTCTTTCAGCCATTTGTAACATGGCATATTAATATGATTACACTTGTTAAGAAATGAGCTCTGAGCTGAATTCACAGTAAATACATTGACATTCTGCATCTGGGTGAAGAATTGTTTCTAAACCCCCCTCCCTTTTTTTTTTTAAAGCAAGGAAGTCTGTGTACTTATTTTCTTTTTTCCTCTTTCCTTATATTCAAGATATCTCTCTCATCTGTATTTATCTGGCAGGTGAACATATATAATAATAATAATAATAATAATAATAATAATAATAATAATAATAATAATAATAATAATAATAATAATAATAATAATAAAGTTGGAAGGGACCTTGGAGGTCATCTAGTCCAACCCCCTGCTCAGGCAGGAAACCCTATACCATTTCAGACAAATGGTCGTCCAGTCTCTTCTTAAAAACTTCCAGTGTTGGAGCATTCACCACTTCTGGAGGCAGGTTGTTCCACTGGTTAATTGTTCTAACTGTCAGGAAGTTTCTCCTTAGTTCTAGGTTGCTTCTCTCTTTGATTAGTTTCCACCCGTTGCTTCTTGTCCTGCCTTCAGGCGCTTTGGAGAATAGCTTGACTCCCTCTTCTTTGGGGCAGCCCCTGAGATATTGGAACACTGCTATCATGTCCCCCCTCATCCTTCTCTTCATTAAACTGTAAAACTTTGTAAAATATGACTGATGAAGTGACTTCTGGCTTACCAAGAGAAAACATGCTTTGCTTTAAAGTGTCACAGATATTAATCCATGCTGATTTTCCCAGAGACCAAGACAACTGAACACAAGAGAATGTTTCATTCTTCCTACATAATACATGTACAGTAAACTAATAATATCAAATGAGTATTATTAAGATTTTTCCCCTTCTCTCTAAAATGTTCAAAGCATCTGATATTAAAATCAATGGCAGAGAATACATTAAAAACTAATGAACCTTTTTGAAAAGACTGAATTTTTTGCTTTATGATCTAGTGTTCAATGGATTATGAACAGTGGAACTCATGCCATTTGGGCTTAAAGACAACAATATTCTAGAATTTCATGCTTTAAATATTATTGTTTTTCACTTGAGAATGATAAAAGGAAGGAGAATATTTGTAGCTCAGGGGTTGACATGAGGGGCCCTTGGTGCTCTCTGAGCTTGCTTGTTTTCTTGCAGACGTTTCATTACCCTAACTAGGTAACATCATCATAACCAGGGCTTTTTTTCAGCCGGAACGCGGCGGAACCGCGTTCCGGCACCTTTTTCCGGGCCGGCCGCACCGGAAATAGCCCCTCCCACACCGGAAATAGCCCCTCCCAAATTTTACTTGCATTCCTGTTCTCTAAAGGGGCGGTCCTAGGGTTTGATGAGGGCGTGGCCAGGTTTGAGTTCCGCCACCTTTTCTCCGAGAAAAAAAGCCCTGATCATAACATAACATCAGGTAACATGATGTTACCTAGTTAGGGTAATGAAAGGTCTGCAAGAAAACAAGCAAGCTCAGAGAGCACCAATGATAAAAGGAAATTGCTTTAATAACAAAATCCAATGAAACTAAAATACTGTTCAAAATATTGTAACACTTTTAGTTCCAGTCATTATTTCAACATTTAACAGGGAACATGAATGCTGACTCACCTGGGTGTTTGTAAACTTTGGTAGAGCTGGCTGAGGACCTGTAGAAGGTGACCTTCTTTTTCTCTGTCCTGGAGATGCCGAGCTAGGAGAACGTGGTGCTCGTGGTATAGAATGGAGGCTCTGATGTCAGGATGCACTTTACTATAGAAATGGCAGAGGGACTCAGTGACATGAAGTTGACCTACATGGCATCAGGTAGGATAAAGATTTTTTTTTTAAAAATTGCCAAATAAATAACACACTTGACTTGACATGAACAATTTCCCCTAAAAATAAGTACTCACTTATCACATTTTGAGTCTTCAAGGCAATGGCCAAGGCCATCTCATAAAAGATGATGACTTCTTCTGCCTTACACCTCACTAGCTTGGACTGAGCCACCCATAACAAAATGTGCACTAGTTCCATCTGTGTATCATCACCATCCTGGAGTTCAAAATACAGCTGAATGGCCCGGAGAAAATAGTACTCGCCTAAATAGTAAGCCCCCAAAGATGTGACCAGGCAACCAAAGTTGGCTAAGGCAATGGCTTGGTTACGCTGATTTCCATTTTCCTGGGCTTTCTTCAAGGCCCATAAGTAGTTCTCTGCTGCCTTTTGCACCTGCCCTTCTCTTGTAAGGGCAATGGCTAAAAGATTGTGAACGACCCCATCTTGTGTGACACTGTCTGTCTGCCGCAGAGAACACAGGAGGTATTGCATGATCTCTGAGGTCTTTTCTGGTAGGCTGTTCAAAATAAACAACCACCCCAAAGAAAGGGATGCTTCAAATGCTTCTTCTTCACCCATCACTTTACCAAGGGCAACGGCTTGGTTGGAGTAATGCACAGCCTTTTCTAGCATGCCATATTTGAGGTACAGTTTGGATAAAAGTGCACACAAGGCTTTTTCAGTAGATAGAGTCCCAGCTTCGTGGGAGAAGGACAACCCACAATGCAGATAGAAGCAAGCCAATGCTGAGATGCTGTTGTTGCTTTTCTCTTGGACTTTCAAGAGTTTAGAGGTGTTTGCAAGGATGAATCCCGCTCTCCAAATGGGTGTGAAGCCACCTTTTATATTGCTGGGGGAGACCATCCTGGCAGCTGCTAAAGCTACATGGGGCACATACTTTTTTCCATACAGATAGGCAAGAAAAGGCATTGTATCTAAAGGAAATGCACTGCTAGCCTGGCTGGTAAGCTGTGCATTCAGAAACTGCAAACGTTCTGCAAAAGGAAGGACCTCATCATATTTGCCCAGGTGCAAGAAGAGTCTGACAATGAGGAAGCAGGACCGAATCTCCATTGTTGTGTTGCCTACAGCAATGGCTTCTCTCAGGATATACATCATAACCTCTAGTTCAGTCTCAGAACTGAAGCAGTGTCCAGACATGCAGGCCAGAAGTGTCATCCCTTTCCCAATCACGGATAAGAACTTTTGCTTCATCTTTTGTTTTAGATAAATGGCAGCAAGGTTTGCATGTAATGAGGTAAGTAGAAGTAGATCTTCAAACCCCTTGTCCATAATATTCATGGCTTCCTCAAAGTAGACTCGTGCTTGGGAGAACTTGGCCTTCCTGACACAGAGGCGGCCCAAAAGATAACATATCCGAATATGAGCCCAAGCAAGGTGGCCCCTCTTAGCCCAGTTCCTGGATGTCTCCAGATATATGACTAACTCCTCTTCATTGGTGAAACCATAGAAGGTAGAACTGAGGAAGGAAAAGGAGAGGTCATAGAGACTTTGGAAATGAGGCACATAGCTTTCTTGATTGAGGAAAGTCAGTATAGGATCAAACACATCACAGTCTTCCATATGCCCAGCATTTAGATCAATAAAGAACTTGGGGTCATCAAGGTCATCTGGCTCTGGCAGAAGTAAATGTTCAAGGGTGAAAGGTGAAGATTCAACCACTGGAGTTGACTTCTCAGAATCAGTATGAGTAAATAAACTGTTATAAGATTGCTTCCCCCAATTTTCAGATATCCAACCAGTCTTATGTCCATGTACAGCAGCATCTGAAAATGATTAATAAAGCACAACAATATGATTCCTTTTATGGTAATACATTTCAGGGGGAAAAAAACATTCCATTTTCCCTTTCAACCATACTCACCTGATGGTCTTTGTGGATACATTGCAATAGGTTCAAAGCCATCTGTGTAATCAAGAAAAAGGAAAGAAATATGCAAGATCAAAAGTCAAACTTCAAACTTGGCATTATAACAAAAAACTTAAGTTGCTTCATTCAAAGCATACACAAGAAAAAAATGAAGTCCAATATTAGCTTGGGAAGGAAGAAACAAGGAAAGAATAAGATGAGTGTAAGGGATATAAAGCTACAGTATATGACTGTACTACAATGAAGGGAGAGTATACTGTAAGTTCTGAATTAGGTCAACTTATTCATTTTCTACATTGAAAATGTCATTAGAAATAATAGAAAATTCTGTTCATTCCTATTGTTCAACTGCCCTTTGATGTGGCAGAGTACGGACACACTTTGGAGATATTGCAAATTCAGTTCCAGATTATCACAATAAAGCACATATTGCAATAAAATGAATCACACAATTGTTTTGCTTTCCCATTGCATATAAAAGTTATATTTTACACTCTATGTAGTCCATTTAGTGTGCAATAGCATTAGGTCTAAAAAATAGTACATGCCTTAATTAAAAACTTTTTTATGGCCAAAATGATTAATAATAATGAAAAAGTTTGAAATATTATGTCAATTACTAAAATAGGACACAAAGACATGAAGTGAGCAAATGTTGGAAAAATGGTGCCAGCAGATTTGTTCACTGCAAGGTTGCTGCAAACTTTCTATTTGAATTTTTTAAAAGGCAGTATCTGGAAAGCATAATAAAGTGAAGTGGAAGAAAATATACTATTCCTATGTGACTGTTAATGCAAATTAACAGGTGATAAATAAACATGAATTGGGTGTGGGGCATAAAACCTGAGGAGCAAGGAGCTGTTATCAGGTACATGGGCATATACTCAGATCACATTTGGAGAAAGAGAATTTAGTGAAGGGGCCTTCAAACTTGGCAACTTTAAGACTTGTGGACTTCAACTCCCAGAATTCCTCAGCCAGAATTCCTCCCATTCTGGGAGTTGAAGTCCACAAGTCTTAAAGTTGCCAGGTTTGAAGAACCCTGATTTAGTGCCTTGGTTATATTACATCTCATCCTCCTGCTATTATGTCTACTAAGAACTAAAGCTTATAGAGATTAACATGACATCAAACTATTTCCTGAGTATTTTTCAAAGATAATATTCTATCAAAAGATGAATAGTATAAAGATAGGGAGCAGCAGAAAATCTGGGAACAAGAAATAAGACATTAGAAAGAGACAATATCCAGAGATATGGAAACATACCAAGTCTATATACAGAGGTGATGTCTGTCTGTGCCCATTCATTAAGAAGATTACTGTAATATACCTCATTGTCATTACATGGAGCCTGGAGGAAGGCAGAAATTTCTTCTTCACTGAAGAACACTGGGCTCTTTCTCCTGTGTTGGGGAAGAAAAGGCAGAGAATGACCAGCCAGTCCTGAATATTTTTTATGTTCCCAGAGCCCACTTATCTTTACGATGGTGTTGAATATCTGTAGCTCGGGTGTAGGATGAAGGTGGAGGTTCGTTCTCTGAGCTTGTGGGTTGGTTTCTGAATGTTTCGATACTGACATCCCCTAAACCAGAGGTCCCCAACCTTTTGGGTACCAGGGACCGGTGCCATGGAGAAAGGTTCTTCCACGGACCAGAGGGGGTGAGGTTTTGAATACTGCCTGCATCCTGAGGATGGAGCTTTGCTTGTTTGTGCGGCCCGCTTGCTGGCATTCTGTGGACCGGTACTGGTCCATGGACCGGGGATTGGGGACCCCTGCCCTAAACTCCCCTGAAGATATTACCTAGCCTAGTAACGAAACATTCAGAAACCAACCCACAAGCTTGGAGCCCTAACCACCACCCTCACCACTTACCTTTTTCCTGCTGTAAAATGCAGAAAGAAAAATCCAGATCCTGCAATCTAATATTAGACTAGAAGAATTCAAGCACAAACCCCCACTCATTCCCAAAACTAAGCAATGATCTTGCATTAAGCATTTAATGATACTTAATAAAACCAACCCCATAGGGTCATTGCTGAAAAAATATAATGGAAGGATAAATGGGTACACTGAATGTGGAAAATGTATAGAAAGCAAGCTATTTGATTGACATCCCGAGTTATGTTTTTAAAAAGGCCCTTGAAAACATCTCAGCTATGTCTTGTTCTGCAGTTCAAGGTCCATTTTTTTTCTTCCTATGGCAAGGAAGCATCACTTAACAAGTAAGTATAGGATGGATTTAAACACACACACACACACACACTAAAGTCATTCAAAACCTTCTCTGATCAGGATTAGTTAAAACTATGAAGTTTTAACAAATGCAACCAAAGGAAAAATATATTAGAAGTATACATGGAGAGACACAAGTATTGTATCCATTATTCAACATAGCTGTTCAGAATGACATTTATACAGATGAAAGTATTGATTAGGGAACATGTCGTTAACATAGATGATTGATTTGAATCCATTTATTTTTTACTGTAGCATTTCTCAAAGGTGTTTGCTGTTGTGTCACTTTTTCAGAAATTTTCTCATATTTTTTAAAAACTATAGAACCTATAAAAATATACCTTAGGTCTTTATACGTTTTTTTTAGTTTTCCATATTTCTGCAATAACAACAGGAACTGAACTGATTTCTTACATTATATTAATGCATATACAAGGAGAATACAAACAATAAACCAATAAAAGGAACTTTTATGGAATACTAGTTGGTAAATTCTCCATATTTTCAGCCAAGAGGACTGAGTAATTGAGGGCTGATACTACTGATATAATAGGTGCCAATTTTCATATCAAGGTGCCAATTATACAAATACACAAGTGTTTGGAGGTGGCAACCATGGCACAGTTTATATATTTGTTATATTGTTATATTGTTCATTGTACTATATACTATATACAATTAACTAGTGGAGCAACTTGCCTTCAGAAGTTGGGGTGCTTCATCACTGGAGGTTTTTAAGAAAAGACTAAACAATGATTTATTTGAAATGGTATAGGGTCTCCTGTTTGAGCAGGAGTTTGGACTAGAAGACCTCCAAGATCCCTTCCAGCTCTATTCTGATTGATTGATTGATTGATTGATTGATTGATTGATGATACTTGCATCAGATGATGTGGCCCAAGTACTGAGTGATAGCCTCCTTTCATGTCACATATCATGTCACACATCATTCTCCCTTTGTGTATCATTGCTATACGAAAACAGTCTAAAGAGATTACAACTAAATAGACCATTTATCAGACCTATGAACTGTTTTCCTTTTGGATGATACACGGAAATAAATGTAAAGGCACAAAAAGTTCCAATGGCATTTATCAAATCCAAAATTATCTTCCCAGCTTTAATTTTTTTTAAAAAAAATTGTCATGTTTAGTTTTATATATAAATGTTAAAATTCCTTTGCTATTAAATGAATCAGATATATAGCATTCTTCACAGGCTTCACTGATTATACTTAGATATTTTATGTAAAATGTAAGTTTCTGGTTTCAGTCATTTAGCGTGCAATTCAATGGCCACTTATCTGGAAGTAAATCTCATTGGAAGATACATAGGTTTAGGCATTTACAATCCATAAAAACTGACAAAGAAATATAACACAAAAGGAAGACTCCTTTCAAGGCATTAGCAAAGTTACCATCTTGTGGAAGACAATAACGACACCTTGTGGCCACCACAATTTCACACGACTGCAAAGTTTTTGCAGACAACAAGACATTAACTCAAAAAAATAAATTTGCACTTGGTAGAAATGTATTCTCATTTGTCTTCGGCACTAATGCCACACGTAAGTATTTATTTATTTATGTTTGTTTCTTTGTTTGTTTTTATTAGCCGCCCGACTCCAGTGGAAGTAATAAGAAATAAAATCATAGTATCTACTCAATAAATGGTGTTAAAAAACCCTGGCCTTAGCACGAAGCATGACTTGGGACTATTGCAAATCTATCTAGATTGTGGTTAAAGTCTACTTTTCCTGCATTTTAATTTAATCTGTTTTAAAAGTAACTTCAAAGTCATAGGGAGAGAAGAGAGGAAGAATTCACTGCAGATGAATAACCTCTCACAATATCCTGGTGCTCTGCATAAGCTAAGGCAAAAGTGGAAGCAGAGCCAGTTTATTAAATGAAAGGGTGTAAGTCGAGGGACCTATATTATAATAAAGAAGGCCCCTGTGATCGAATTCTACTCATAGATATCTCTTAAGACTCTTGGTGTGTCCTCTCTAAGGGTAATGTTCCAAGAATTTTACAACAGTCACATGAAAGGCATATCCTCTCCACTCAGGTAAAACTGAGCCAAATGGGCATTATCTAAATTATTTTAACATTGATGCAGAATAACTGAGGAAGAGCATCCTTTAGTTCAGCATCATTATTGGTTTGCATTCTGAATTGTTTATGAGTCCTTACCTTACTTTAGATAAAAGCATCCCATCCCTCTCCCATCTGCTTGTTTTCCATTGACTGGACAAAGAACTACACTTGAGATTTTATAAAAGAGGGGGAAGGATAACTATTTAATAGGCACATGATCAATTGGAACTGATCTTGGAAAACCAAGTATGGCAGACTTAGCATTTGAATTAGAGAGAACCATGAATATTTTGTTTTAATTTTGCCTTGCTGTCATTGTTGACTCCTGGTGACTGACTGAATCTCAATCCCTGCTGTTTTTTTTATAAGATTTTTTGCAAGTGGTTTCCATTCCTAAAGCTGTGAGAGAATGACTTGGTTCAAGGTTGCCTAGCTGGACGAGGAAGGACTAAAACTCAGGGTCTTCTAGTTTCTAGCCCTAGCTCAACCAAGAAATAACAGGGTTGTAATCTAGACTGGAAAGTAAACAAAGAAATGAAAAGTGTCTTAAAGAAGGCAATGGAAAACTATTTCTGTATTTATTGTTAAATAAAATGTTTTGAGGTATTGAACTATTGAACTATTAATGAAGCCATTAATAGTTGAGCTCTGTACCATTGTAATACATTTCTTGCCCTACTCTTTTGCTTGCCAGTTTTATTCTGTGTCCCATTGTGGTCAAATTAAATATTATTTAGAATTTTACATAACAGTTCAAGAAAGATGTTTTCAAAGGGGGCTTGTCATATAGGCTCAGGCAACATTCTGGAAATAAACTTCACTAAACAAAACCCCACTCATTTATCTAAAAACATTGTCTTATAATTGTCTCAACTGAAAGTTCCCTGAGATAGATTTGCCAAGTTCTTTTGCTTTTTTCTGCCTACCTATCAGGAACCACCAACCCACAACATACTTTCCTCAGTGTCCATAAAATGATTTCCATATTCTGCATCTTGTATCCAAGTATTCAAATTACTCCTCAGCCTATCTTTGCCTGGCCTGTACCTATTTACCTCTGTCAGAGCACTATGACTAGCTCTGCCAAAATAAATCTATACCAATGTTCTGAAAAAAGATATTCCAAAGCTATTAAAAAAGTTATAAACCTTTGGGCAAAAAACAAACTGCCCAAAATTAATGGAAATAACTTCATTTGTAGGAAGCATTTCGATTCTGACCAGCACAAGGTTGAGTCAGTCTTTCATCCTTCCAAGGTCAGTAAAATGAGGATCCAGATTGTTGGGGGGCAATATGCTGACACTGTAAATTGCTCAGAAAAGGCTGTAAAGCACTATGGAGCAGTATATTAGTCTAAGTGCTAAGTGCTATTAATTATTAGCTAAGAGTTGGTTTCCATTTTTAAATTATACTAACTGACGTACAACAATGTTGCTTTGTCACTTTTTCCTGATGAATCTTCAGGTTTATCAGCTTGTGTAACTCATGCATGGAGGCTATTGCAATTAAATGACACAAATTTTGCATACTTTGTGTTTTTTTATCTATTACCTGAGGCTTCCTAAAATAAAGATTCTGTTGGATTTACGTATTGTTAATTTGGGCTTAGCACATGGTCACTTAGCTACAGTACAGTTGCCTGTGAAACAGTGTTTGGATAATATCTCGAGATATGAATCTAGCCACCTGGGACTTCCTCAACAAAGAAGCATATAATAAACACAATGTGTAATTCCTATACATGAAACTGAAACCTCTTCTAATATTGTCCCAATGTTTACCAGAATATTCTTATTATATCATAGGTAACACTTATCACAACCTCAGACAAGCTTGTTTATAGATGATGTAAGAACAACTGGGAGAAAAAGGGCATACGTTTTAATAAAATGCTGAATATTCTAAAGGAGAGTTTAATAAAGTTGGTGGAAATGGCTATAATGCTTAAGATAGCACTTAGCACTTAGACATATACCATTCCATAGTGCTTTATAGCCCTCTCTAAGCGGTTTACAGAGTCAGCATATTGCCCCCAACAATCTGGGTCCTCATTTTACTGACCTTGAAAGGATGGTCAGTAAACCTTGAGCCGGTGAGAAGAAGTAGTTAAAAAACGATAACAAAAAAACCCACAAAACTCAAATCATAAATCTGGATTGCTTGATGCCGCACAGCTTTGGGAGCAGGGAAAAATTCCAATCCATAGAGAAAGAGAACTCAGTCTTCCTCTGACTACTTCTGCCACAACAATCAAGGAAAAATTGAGACCACGTGAAAGGTTCTGTTTTTTGTTTTTCTTTAATTTTTATCATATGGTTTGAACAAGTAATATTTATTTTTTACCCAGGATTCTATGCACACTTTTTTCATCTTAAATATAAAAGCTTGGATCATGCCATGTTTCAACTAAATCAGCGGTTCTCAACCTATGGGTCGCGACCCCATTTGGGGTCGATCGACCATTTCACGGGGGTCGCCAAGCAAGGCTGTCCGCCATTTTTTCCCCTTTTCCGGCGGGTGCCTTACCTCCCTTGGGCTGGGCCAGCTGGTGGTCGGCCTGCTCCGTCTCTGCTGCTTGCCAGCTATGCCTCGGCCGGCACAGGGGGCAGAACCACGCATGCGTGGCGCTCCCGGGCAGGGAAAGTCCTCGACTTATGACCGGTTGGGTAGTCCTCGACTTACGACCAGTTTAGTCCTCGACTTACGACCGGTTGGGGGTCGCGGCATTAAAAAGGTTGAGAACCACTGAACTAGATGATCTGAAGGTCATGAATTCTGCCTTGGTTTCCACCTATGTTTTTTATTTTTATATAAGCACACACACACACATCATACTTACATTGATTCATAACTCTCAAGCTGCACTGATTTGGTCTGGACAAAGCCAATTATCCCGCTAGTTGTGGATTTCCCTATAAACCAACGGAGGCCCGGAATGAGAAAGCCGATCACCTCTAGGATATCCCCTTTGCAGTAACTCAATTCATCCCAGCTTTTTCCTCTGTGATCTTCAGTAGCTGTGCATCTCCCTTGGCCTGAAAAATAGAATGAGCAGGCTGAACAATTGTATTATTCTCTCACAGCAGCACCATGGCTAGAGGCAGTGGAGGGTGTGTGTGTGTGCAAACGAAGCATGATAACAAAAACTCTTTGTATTCCATGACATTTTTGTTTTCTTCGGTAGCTGAGGCTTCACAGACAAGCCTAGTCTGTTTAAAAAAAAACAAAACACCAGGCAGTTATTTATTCTACAGACATATAAGAAGCTCTGAAGACATTTCAATTTGTTACAGGGGGTTTTGTGGGTGGGAGGGGAACAGCCACTGACAAAAAATATTTGCCCTACATCAAACTAATGGAAACTAATCAAGGAGAGAAGCAACCTAGAACTAAGGAAAAACTTCCTGACAGTTAGAACAATTAACCAGTGGAACAACCTGCCTCCAGAAGCGGTGAATGCTCCAACACTGGAAGTTTTTAAGAAGAGACTGGACAGCCATTTGTCCGAAATGGGGTTAGCACTTTTCTTTTGCTTTCAAAATTTGAATTGTTTTTATTTTTTTTAAATAAATATACAGAGAGAGAGAGAGACATGTTTGTGTATTTGTGGAAGTGTGTGTGTATATATAAATTCATACAGTACATGCATACACATGCACACGCATGCACGCACTCACATACACATTGAGAACAAATGGCGTAGTTCTAAGCTTGAAAGTCCTATGAATGTGGCAGATAGACAGCAAGTGAAATAAAAAGGGAGGTGTTCAATTAATGATTTTTAAGCAAACTGATCTTGAGTTTTATTACACTCACCAATCTGCAAAGAGTCAGGCCCATTGATTTCTTTGGATATGCCACAACTGATTGGATAGTTCTTCAAAAACCACCTGCAAATGCAAACAGCTATGAACAAATTGCTTCTCTGAGGGAAATATATGGTTGATGATGTCCAGGTAAGAGATAATTAGTTGCTAGATCTGCTCTATGGCATCAGAGTCTTTGCATGCCTTCTCTTTTATAATTCATTCATGGAATCCATGATCCAACGATATGGTGGTAATAATAATAATAGCAATAGTTTAGATGCCTATCTTAAAAGAGTATTACACAAATAAAACACAAATCAAGATTCTGGAGATAAAATATAGATACAAATACCAGGATCAGTGTTTTCAAAATATCTGACTTATGGAGACAGTTGATCTTGGTACTAGGGAGAATGCTTTTCAGACAAAATTACATCCCCAACGCCTACACTTAAAAAAAGGCAGGCAGCAGATGATAGGAATAATGGTCAGAGAGATATTCACAGTCAAGGAAGCCAATGCAAATCTAGAGAAGATTGTCTAGGCATAAGGTAATGTTCTGTAGAAAGAATATTGATCTGAACCTCCAATATAGTTTGTGCGTACATTTTGACAGACCCAATTTTTAAAAAAAGCAGAAAAAGGAAATCTTTCTGTTTTAAAAAGCTTGTCAGCACTCTTAAATCTAGCACGCTAAATCTTCATTTGGCAAATATGACATGAACAGTTATGAATATCTGAAGAGCCAAAAAAAATCTCCATTAAACAAACATACGTCTTTGTATACAAACCAAATTTGCAAACTATTCTAATGAGAACATTACTGCAAACGTTATAAGTGAATTAGAGGTTGAAAATAAGATTTTAAGTACACATGACAAACAGCAGCCAATTTTAATCTAAAGTTAGAAAATGATATTTTGCTTGAGGTAGCACAAGTGAACTCAGCATGTAGTCACAGTACAACAGTTGGATGTAGACAGGGCAACAGACAATCTACTTACTGGTAAAATGGATGGGGCAACGGCTCTATAGTTGTGACAGATATCAGACCCCTCTGATCGGTCAACAGTGATGTCCCTTCCCACTTGGTTTCATGTCCAATGTCTTTCACATGGACTAATTCATTCTTGAGGAGTTTTAAATCCTCCTCCTCCTCCTCCTCTTCTTCTTCTTCTGCAAGGATGGTGAGTGTTGCTCTGGCAAAAAAGCTGCCTATTTACCGAAAGAAGAGAAGAGAAAGAAACAATGTGACTTCTGCAAATAGTGGGGCAGTATCTACTTTCCTAAGAACGCTTGCACATTTTTAGATCTCTAAAAAGTTCTATTCCAGGTCATTTCAATTTCCATGTAAATACCAGGAATAGTTTTTTTTCCCCTGTCATGGTGCTGCAAAGATGAAACTATCTGCTATCATAGGATTCCCCCCCAAAAAAGATCTCAGAGGCTTTCTTCATTGTAAGAATATTTCATATAGTTCAACATCACTTTAAAGACAATTATTTAATGGTTCAAATTCTTTTCTCCCCACTGTAGTCTAATATGGAGACAGTTCAATGTTTCCCAATAGTTTAAAATGCTTTTTTACATGGAAAAAAAGGAAGGAAGGAAGGAAGGAAGGAAGGAAGGAAGGAAGGAAGGAAGGAAGGAAGGAAGGAAGGAAGGAAGGAAGGAAGGAAGGAAGGAAGAGGAAAAAAGAAGTAGAAAGAAAATTACATTACAGAAGATATCTGCAATGAAACACTTTGTTTCAGCTGAAGGAAATTATTTATATACATTTATCTCCTCCACACTTTGTCTAGCCATAGCTCAGGATTAGTACCAGACAGTTCTCTGCTGTTGGAAGGGTCCTCTAAGATTGGAAGTAAATGTGCAGATATTACCTGTTACCAGAATAAGTTTTAGAGATATTTGAACATGCATAGACTCAGCCTCCAATCCAATATTTTCTTGCATATCTTTCTCCCACATCCTTCTTCCTCATCATGTTGGAGACCTACTTTACAGTGAAACAGCATTACACCATCGGATTTTTTGGATTCTGACTCAGGATCCTTACCTTCCTGCAGCAGAAGACCCAGATACATGGTGGCCATGCAGTCCTCATCAACAGTGACAGTGATCTCAGTATCATCTACCTGAGCACAGTTCAACCAGTACTCAGGAGTGAAGAGAAGTTGTTCCAGGCAGCAACCCACATATCCTATTTCATCATACCAAAGGAAGAACGAAAATCTGTAACGTGCTTTCCCCAAAGGCCAAAGCTGTATTCATTTATTATCTCAGACCAATGTTTAACTCAAATTATCAGCCATTCTATAGAGCAGGGCTCCCCAACCCCCGATCCATGGACTAGCAAAGGGCCATGGCATGCCAGAAACTGGTCTGCGCAAACAAGCAAAGCCCCATCCGCGGGATGCACACAGTACGTGAAACCATGCCCCCACTGGGCCGCTGAAAATCCTCTCTCCACAGAAGTGGTCCCTGATGCCCAAAAGGTTGGGGACCTCTGCTATAGAGTCACATTAACAACAGAGAACGTGCTTTTCCAGTGCCTGTATTACAGAGACGTTTGTAGCATATTAAACTAGTCTTTGAAAAGAAAATTAGAAGTGGTTCGTGTTTTGCCCTGAAGTTCTGCCTTAATATTATGGCCAATATATTTTATGTTCCCACAACTGCCCTTCTGATGAAAGGCCAGTCATTCCTCAGTGGAGTGTGATTTACCAAGTGCCAAATAAGTGGAAAACTTCCAGATTTCTTCTACAGTTCTGAAGGAGAGCAGAAAGCGATTCTCCTGTGCCTGGATGCATACCAGCCTGGCTGACAGCTCCTGCAAAAAGACAGAAAAGGACAAGATTTAAATATCGTAAAAGGTTAGCATGTGCCTTATCATACTTTTTGCAAATTATAGGCATGACATTTGGAACTTGGAAATTTAGACAAGGTGTGAGTTACCCTGGGATAATGAAATCTAATCAGGAATTAAGGATTCATTCTTAAATATGGGTCTAAAATAAGGTACAGAGTGAAGCCTAATCAGATCCATGTGCTAGCCAGCTGTATCTTCTTCAAAATATGACAACCCATTCTCCTATTTTTCCATCATCCCTATTCCCAAAACACAGCATTTTGCAAGTCAGTCCATTGAATATGATCTCTTGGTTGGTTTTTGCCCAAACAGCTTATATTTCCTTCAGTTTTGTCCTGCATCCAAAACCCTGGGTCTCTTCCAAGGTTTTTTTTACTACCACTAGAGATCGGTACTGTAGGAATGAGTGTGCTATACATAATAATAATAATAATAATAATAATAA